ATCGAGTACACAACAAGTGTACAACAGCTAGTGCTAAGTTGACTTCTTGTAGAAAAACCTACATTATGTCACAAAAAACCGACATAATGTCACTTTTAATCGGTATTTGCGTGACCAGCATAGTGCTCAAGAATTCGAGTACCTTTTTATCGTAACTTCTTTTAATCTGACTTTTCTCCTCATTTGGTAACGAATAATTAGATTTTCAGTTCGATAAACAACTTTGTTATTAACGATCGCCTTGTTGAAATATAAACAAAGCGCTCCCAGCGCCTCTATCGGTAATGTAATTAATTCCATGAAGTTGCCGTGGGTTTATGGGTTTTTTTGATAGTATCGTTAAAGGATTTGTTATCATTGAATAGATAATGATACATTTCATGAAAGCAAAACAAAAAACATAAAAGGGAGGCGGTTGTATTGCGACTGCTATACATCGTTCTTGTAAGTTTGTATCGCTTTGTATGAATGCAACCGCTATGACGCCAAATTTGATGTCTGGAGGCCACATGCTTACATACATTGGTCTTTTTCGCATGCTGTTAGCGGCAACGTGACGAATTCTGGTTGCCAGATTTAACCACAGAAAAAGAAAGAAAATGAGTAGAATTTGCGTCCTCTTGTTCTTGTTCGAGGCAATAAATCGCTATTTCTAGAATAATCTAACAAAGGGCTGGTTGCGGATGGAGGAGAAGCTATAAATATAACGACAGCTGCCAAGTCTACGGCAGACGGCAAATGACATTTCGATGCGCCGTTTCTGTTCTAAAATGGGATTAAGAAATGCCGTTCTTTCTACGTATGCAGCAACCATAGACATTTATGGAGAAACGAGTTAGCTCAGGTCGGCAAATTGAAATTGACTCGATTGTTGCCAAACTTCACCTTTCCACAGGGTCGCCTGGTTCAACGATGATCACAGGCGGCAGAACTTTTTATTTTTTTTTGTTTTGAATTCAAAGTAAATGCCATAGTACCCATATGCGCTGTTAAACGTATTCTGCCTAAAGATAGCCTATTTAATGCTATTTCTCCCGTCCAAAAAATATGCAAGATAAAACTAGACATCTTAGCGTCATCTATGAAAATTTTCTGTCTCTCTATTTACTATACAAGGTGTATCAGAAAGACGTGTCAGTATTTCCAGGGTAGAAAGTACATGCAAAAATAAAAAAAAAGTTCCTATAACTATGGGTCCAAAGATGCCGAGATACAGGGTGATGGTTTTATTTACGAAATTAAATCACATCATCAGCAACAAACACTCAGAGTTTCCCGGCCTAAACTGAACCAGGAATGTAGAAACTGTGGTACCGGGACAAGACCGCCATCCGTCGTTCAAGTCGCTTGTGTAAATCTTGCTGTGATTCCATTTTCTCCTGGACTCTTGTTGTTTACTTCCTTATTGCATGGTATGTTGGCTCTGTGATGGCGCAGCATCACCATTAGTTGCACACAGCACTTGGAAGTACTCGAACTGTAAAAGAGGTGAGCCTCCATCGAATCAGCAGCAGCCAAAAATATTCCTAGAGGTTGGAAAAAAATCGCTAGTCGCCAACTCGAAAAAACTGTCACCAAATTATATAAAAAATCTCTAACTTTTCGACAAATCGACAAACCTGGCAGCCCTGCTTCCTCTTATTATTATTTCTTCTTCAACATCAGCATTATGAATATGCGTCGTACATTCACAGTTCCTGTGCCATATATTTATTCTTTGGCAAGAAAAGGTGCGGATGTAATTGCTGAGCGCATCTCGCATACTAATGGTCATGCTTTGTAAACTTGCTCCATAGAAATGCCTTTTTCAAAGTTGCGTTGCTATGATTTGCATGCCAAATGAACAAACATTACGAGAGACGCTTTTGTACCAAATAAAAACAAGGTTAAATGGTGTGGTTACGAGGGTAATATGAAAAGTTCTCGACCTGACTATAAAAGATTACGATTTTCAGTTTAAACATGGAATAATTATTTAAATAATCTCCATTGACTCCAACACCACTTGATTCAATGCTTCTGCAACGTTAGGATTCCTTCCTGGAAGTGAAGTGTGAAAAGCTGTCAAAATATTCATCTACGACTCTCTCAACTTCTCCATCAAACTTGAAGATTTTTCAAGAAAGGAACTTCTTCAAATCTGAGAACAGATAGAAGTCTTAGGGTGCCAAATCAAGATAATAGGGAGGACGGTCGTGCAAATCAGACCATTGTTAACACGCCTTTGCGAACAGGTGCGTTGTCCTGATGAAGAATGATCTTTTTCTTCTTCAAGTCATGCCTGTTTTCTCGAATTTTGTCATCCAGTTGATCCATTTTCAAGTATCGCATTCGAGATTTGCCACACGAGAATATCGAACGCTTCAGCAAATTGACGTTCTCATTTCGACATCAGTGTCGCATACGAAAAATTCTCGCTAAGTCATCATGCAGTTATTTCTGTCAAACTCTTGGATTCTAGGACAGGTGTTGAAAAATAGTCTTCTGCCATTTTGTCGAACGGTGAAAGAGTCTCTAACGTGTCATTTACTGTCGCATCGTCTTAGCTTCACGAGATCTTGTCAAATGAAAATTGTTGATTGCGAGAATCGAGAACACCTTTCCAGGAATTATAAATTTTCGCCGATCGAATCGGCATGCATATTATGTCAGGCTTCAGGCCGAGAACTTTTCATCTTAACCTTGCACTTATGCTAGCGGTTTTCTAAGGAACTAGATATAAAAATTAACACATAAACAAACATTAATATTGTACTATCTGAGAGCAAATTTAATCTGTCGCCAACAATCAGTTCGCAAATTCTCAGCAAATTGGTTGTGGGACTAGAATCAATCATTGTGTTATTGACCTGAGACTACCGAGACCGAGACTCATTAGACAAGTGTAATAATAATCTGTGTGTATTGAAACTTCACTGAACACTAAACTTATTCTAAACAGGACCAATCGGAATTTCGGCAAAATAGCAGTGTTTTGCCCAGAAAAAAAAATATTTTGGATGTTTTAATTTTTTTGATGTAGGAATCTTAACATACTCTCTCTAGGTAAATAATGATAATAATAGAGCAGCTCGGTATGGTTCTTAACGCGGTTTTTAGCCGTTACGTCACAGTGCCATACAAAATAAAAGTTTGTTCCAACAAGCCGTTCTAACTAGTTCAGAAGTAATTCTGAATTATATTTGTGTGCATACTCGAGGCAAGTAGTAGTTCATAAGTAGTTCCGAACTATTTTGTTACAACAGAGAGAATTACATTATATGCGTTTAGACGTGGAATTTGACGTATTGTAAATCTTTTTTAGGAAAGTTTTGTCTTTTTAGACCTGGAAGAATTCATCGTTTTGCCTGTAGGGGAAGGATGCTCTGCTACAGTAGCAGATGACAAAATTGAAGGAAAGGAACATATAATATTAATATTACTAATAATATGATTGAAACAAATTCATTAAAATTATCCAGACTTCGCTATGTAATTTTCATCTCCTATAAACAGCTCAAGATCTTCCTCTTTATTTGAATATGTTCCAAAGAAATCTTCATCGTCACCCATTTTTTGAATATGTGTAATATACAGCACGATTAAAGTTTAAAATATGGCAAGATTGAAAAGTTAGAAAAGGCTCAAAATGGCAGCCACAAAACCCAGCGACCCAGCTATGAACATCTTATCGACGGCATGTGTTATGTAATCTCGCATGTGCTATCAAATTCGAACTTTTAGTTCTCTCTCAGAACCAGAACTGTTATAACCGGTTCGGAATCAGTTCGGAATTTGTTGGAACTACCAGCTGCGGAGTCAGCGCATATTATTGTGAACGGTAATTTCGATCTGCGCATGCTCTGTTGAGTTCAGAACTAGTTTGATCGTTTGTTGGAACAAAGCTTAAATAAACGGCTTGACTCACTGTAGCATGTGCGGAAAATAATTTCGTTGAGGAAAATTGAACACTGTACATTCGAACACATGAATTGAGTGATTGAGAACCGTTGTTTACACCACTGATCAACAGGATTGCCAATGAACGAAACTAAAACTGTCATTGTTAATTTTACCATCTGTAGACGTATCCCAGAAGACAAGAGGTACTGATAATTTATTCCCTGACCTGTCACAAAATCATCAGTGTAACAGCCGAAACGTCAACGTTAAAAGCTTCCTCATGAGTCACGCATTTTATAGCATTAATGAATTTTTTATGTATGAAGCCATACTTTTTTAATCATGTTTCTTATTATTTATTTATTTATATTACTTGTGTTTAGATTGTTTTTATGTATTTTATACTGTACTGCTGTATTTTAGATACATCTTAACCTGTTTTTTTTTAATTGAAAACATGACTAGTGCCTACATTAAATTTATAGCTTTTTGACATGCCACATATTCTATAACTGGAGTGGTCAATAAATCTAATGTCTAATGTATACCTCAAGATAGCCAACCATATATCGAATTTCGCTGCACAAAAAGGGATCAGAAAGATCGTAGTGATACACAGAGGCAAATAATTAATTTAAAAATCTACTATAAAAAGAGTTAAGAGTTTTTGGTTCCTCGCTAGTGTCAATTTTAATTTGGTATCTTCAGGTGGAATACGTATAGAAAATATTTCTCTATCCGTCAGTTTTATGGGCGAATGTGCGGGGAAATCTCTGATATATGAAATATATCTAATTACCGAGGTTGGGAGCGTATAAATATATATAACGTCAAAAAATTGCGTCACAACCCACAACCATCAATTTTTAGCCGTTACAAGAACTTATCTGAAAATGTTTTGGAACCTTTGAAACGTCAAAAAGCGAAAGTTGAACGATTTTTACTTTTTTTTCTCATTTTGCCTATAGCTCCGCCGCCACTGGACCAATTTTCAAAAAACTTCGGTTTTTAAAGAACCTTTCAGCAGTGACCCAACCGCTTTTCCAATACTATTTTTGCATAAATACATACAAAAATCTAACTTGGCAGTGTAATGAACCGATCCTCTTTTGTTCCAGCACATGGTGCAAACGGGCATGACGACGGGGGGCCCGTTTTCGGCGGCGGCGGCAGCCGCAGCGCCCGCCACCGCCACGCCAACCGCCCCTCAATTCCCGCCCCCCGCTCAAAACGGCACCGACGCCGCCCTCGCGAAGGTCGGCGCCCAATCAGCGGGCGGCGACGACATCAAACCTCCTCAGTTGCCTCTTCTACCGCCTCCCACGGGGGCGGCGCCTGGCACTGGCCCGCCTCCTTATACGCCGCCGCCCCCTCAACCGCCCGCGCAGAACGGTCATGCGGAGCAACAGGGGGGGCAGCAGGGGCAAGGACAGCAACAGCAGGGGCAGCAGCAACAGGTGCCGTGCAGTGTAGCTCAACAGGTGCAGCAACAGTACAAATGTGAAGGAGGGGTAAGCTGATTTTTTTGACAATTCTCTGATAGATGAGACAGTGAGAAGCGCCATCTCTCGCAGCAGCATCGAGCACTGCGATTCTGGTGTGACAGATAGCGCCTTGCACTATATTATTTCGATAGACCGTACATCCGGTATATGCATATAGGATAGTTGCGATGCTTTCGTTCATTCGGCCAGAGACAAGAGACCATGCTGATGAGTAGCTAAGGTCCATGTTTGTCTATCTTTCTGGTCGGACGCACGAAAGCATCATGTTCAGTCACTGATGGATGTCGCTATAATTTCCAAATTGCGTTTTTGATATCCCACGCATGTTTGCTCCAAGAAAGCTATAAGCCACTTAAATTCCAAGATGGTAGCCATAGGGAAATTACTGAGAACAATGGATGTTTCAGTGATACAGAGGTTGACCAAATGAATTTATCTGTGCTGCTTTTGATCTTCATAATTTTTCGAAATAAAAAAACGCATCTGACACAGTCCTAGTGGGAAGACAGAACTTGACCATTGATTAACGTATTCAACCCGTGGCATAGGTATCTATGTGTGGAGTTGATTTTTTTGGTAATTCGCTGATATATGTCTATTTATCAGATTATTATCATTATCCTTATTGAGAACGACGATATTGTAGACCACAAATAACTTTAATACGTGTCAATAATATGTAATATGTTTGTGATGAGGCTCTGGTTGACCTTAAGTGACATGAAAATGACAGAATTCAATCAAATTTCATCATTTTATAGGATTATAAAACAAAAAAAAAAAATTAAATTTACAATACAGTATTTTCAAGAATTAATTTATTTTACAAAAATGCGTTATATTTTTTCGGTTCTGTTGTCACCGAATCTTTCTTTCTCAAATTATAAACCAATTGTAGCATTTCAATCGAAATTAAGCAAGAAACATGAGTCAGGATTTACATCAAACTTATAACTTTTTTTTTCGAAGTAAAGTTTATGTGACTTAAGTATCATATCTGTGAGATGTAAGAAAACTCCAGATTTTATGAAACCGAGTGCGTAGATTTTGAATTAGATATCAGCTTAATACTAGGACTTTCAGAAATAGATATTACTAATCTGATTAAATTAACAGCTCTATATCTTCACTGTACGGTAAATCCATATGCAAATCAATATATTTATATGTAGTGTGCAGTTAACTGTATCAGAAAACTGAAATGGATAACCGTAATAGTATGAATTAGGAGTTCTCAGGCTAAACGCAATGCCGTAGATTTATTTATTTTCTGAGGGCCTTAACTTTTCTATAAAATCGTGAATCATGTGAAATGCAAATTTTGCATTTTCGATTTGTAGAAACTCGCCTTACCTGTCTCCAATTTTCAAGGGTTTTTTTGAAGTGATTATGTTAATCCTTGCGCTTCAACTGTGTCCATGCAGGACTTCTTCCTCATTGGATGCAAGCAAACGAGCGTGATGTCGATTTCTTGCGCTCTGTTTATCTCGCTAGCGGCTATCGTTTTTTGCTCTGCTAAGCTTTAATGCAGATCCAGCAAAGGCAAAAAGGGACTTGAAATAAAAATACTCTCATGATCAGATGGTTCAAAGATATGTGCGGCTATTTAACTGAAAGCGATGCAACTAAATGCCGTAAAAAGTACTCCAGGCAGAATTGGACAGAGTATACGTATACACTACTAAAGCATTTTTATGAGTACTTTACTATAAAGACCTCAGAAAATGGTATTGAGTAGATGCGATACTTCCGACATATTTTCAAGTTAAACCCTCTCCTCTTAATATTATCCACTATTTTACTGCGCATGGTAAATAGCGAAGAAGGGATTGTTATCGCGAAGATTTTTGAAAATCAGATATTGTGTTTTTTGGATGTTTGTATGGATATATGACATGTACATCACGTGAAACCATGTCACTCATTTCCGTCTGTCCGTTAATCCTTCGTGTCTCTATAATTTGGAAAGCTATTCGGATTTTGGTGAAATCATAACTCAAAGTGACTATGCCAATGTCGAAAAAGATTTTGAGGTTTTGTAAATGGATCCAGTGGCGGTGGAGATACGGATAAATAAAACAATAATCGCTTAAAGTTTTATTACGTTTTAAAGACTCTTGCTCGTTATTTGATTTTTTTTTTCATAAAAGATTGGGGTGGGAGGTTGCAGAGGCTAGGGGAGGGTATATTTAATTTTTTTGGCGTTGCTATATTTATATGTTTCTAGCCCCCGCAATTCTGCGCATCTTTTAAATTTTTTATTCAAATTTTTCCGCATATTTTCCGTTAAGGTGACACGTCCCTTTTTTCGATTTTTTTTTCATACCTGTTTGCAGTAGTATTCTAAATAGTTTTCATCTGTTAAATTCATGATGTGTGACTGAAAAACAATGTAATTTTGTCATAACGCATTTTTTATTTATTCGTAACTTGTTAACAAATACAAGTACAGCTCTGAAATTGTGTGTGAATATTGTTCTTTTATGGAAGCATGAAATGAGTGATTACTTTTATTTTAATCACTTTTCAAAAAATTTTTGATTTCCGTGAAACCTCGTTTCACAAGTTGAGTTTTCAAGAAAAGCACGTAGTTGAAAAAGGACGTGCGACCTTAAAAAATATAAATAAAAATTCAATACCCGCATCGAGTGCAACGATGGTAGAAGAAACCTGTCGCGAACCTGCCGTTTTTGCTGGCGATGTTTACCCATCGCAACTGTGAATCGCAAAGATTGGATGGTTGGTAGAGCAAAGAAGAAATTTGTTGATCGCAACATCGTAAAATGTGTGGGAACTGGAAATTGATTGCGTGAACCTGTTTGATTAGCTCGTGCAATTTAATTCCTTCCTTCCAAAGCAAAAAAGCAGTAGTCTTCAAAGTATACTGCTTTTATTTTCTGTATGATACAAGTACTGCATTTGTACCATTTCTTAACATATTATGATGTTTACTTATTTTTTTTTCTGTAATAATTCTATTATTTGTGAATAAGTATTTATCGTTAGATATAAATAATTACTTTTGCTCCGAAAGAATAATTTTGAAAAATATTCTGCATTTAACTTAAAATCATGTAATTATTCAATTGAATTATTAGATGTCGAAAAAGGTTTACTTTTGTGCTTATACGAATTTCAACATGAATAAATTATATAAAAATAAAATAAAATTCTGCTTTACTGCGTTCTTTATTTGAAAAAATAATATTAATTGCTTATGAAAACTACGAAAAAAGGTTGTAAATTTATTTTTGCAGAGTATAAAAGCAGTAAATCACATGTTACTGCTTTTTGATTTACAACTAAAGACGGAAAGCCATTTATTTTAGGCCTCAACAGCAATTATGATCCGAAATCTCATTTAAATGACTTTCTATACATAGGGTCATATTATGCAATATTCATTAATTTCTGTTGTCGTAATAATACTATTTATTTATTTCGAAAACATCCAGAACTTAGAACTCGGTTTACTCAGACTTCGATTTTTACACTTCGCCGCCTTTTTCCTAACTACCTACGGCAGTAAAGTCGATTACATTTTTAATGAGGAAATATTTCAGCAAACATATGAAGAGCAGGTCAGGTCATCGTTGGTTGTCAGAGCGGTCCGTGGGACCATAGCTCTTGAGTCAAAGTGTCAGTTTGTAAGTCTGTCAGGTCTGGTAACCCAGAAACCAGACAATTTTAAGGAAAAAAGGGAAGGAAAGGAGAGAAGGAAGAACGAGAGCAAAGGGGAAGAAGAGAATCTTTTAGGATAGGCAGCGTTTAGGCATTGTTACAATTACTTCACAGATTTTGAAATGGTCTAAAAATATTCGATTTTTTCTAAATATTTTGTCAAAATGCTCCAATTTTGGTTGTTCACGAATTAATTTTGATTACAGTGCGAGCCGCGGCCTTTTGTGCTTGCGAACTTGCTCGACTGTGTAGTCCACTGACTCACGCAACAGAGGGTTGCTGTGCGATTCCGCTAGGCTATAGCGCCGCTGCGCCTGTTGCCTAATGTAGTCTTTTAGGTAAGGGACATCGAGGTCTCTATGTAGTTTTGTTAGAGACATACCATGGGACGTCATCCATCTTATAGAGGCGAATCTTGTTAATCAAACTTAATTTTGAACGTTTACCTAATAATGGGTAAAGCTTTCGAAACGGTATTTGGAATTAAGTTTTTAGCGCTTCTATATCGTTTCGCCAAGTCATCCCTAGCGGAGGATTCCCATGGTATACGAAGTCCATTCATTGAAACTTCAGACGGAACGCCGCGACGTCTTTTTGTACAGTAGATTGCCTGCGTTTTCGAATGGTTAATTGTAATTAGCCACCGATCCGCCTAATCTAATACTTCCTCCACCGCACTTTGCAGCCTGTCATGGACTAGGTCACCAGACCACGACTGAGCCACCAATGCAGTAGTGTGAGTAAAGGATAGGTTCAAGGACCGAACCCTGAGGGACGCCGGCTGTAATCAGCCGTGTTGTCGACAGGACATTGTCGATTTTGATCCGAAATTTCCTACCTTCAAGGAAGGATTTCAGTAGTTTCAGAAGCCAAAAAGGGAAGCCCCTTTTCATTAGTTTATACAGGAGGCCCGCGTGCCACAGCTTGTCAAATGCTTTTGAGACATCCAAAAGCAAGATGCCAGTACTTTCGTTAAGGGTGAATGCTCTGGTTACTCGTTCCACCAGCCTAACCGCCTGTAGCTCCGTACTATGTTCAGACCGAAAACCGAATTGCACGTCAGGAATCACATGGTGATCTGACGAGAAGTTCTCAAGGTAATGTAGAATCACCTTTTCAGCGAGCTTAGACGGAGCTGACAGCTGGCTAATGGGAGGATAATCCTGGGGAAATATTGAACCCCCCTTCTTTGGAATCATTATAACGCGGATGGGAAGTACTGGGTCCTTAGCATGGCATTGACTATTGTCACGAGATAAGTTAAGGACTTTCGCGAAAGGAGCTTCAGCGCCTTATTAGTTTGATACTCCCCAGGTGTTTTACGCACTTTAAGGTCTTTAATATGACCTTGAATCTCTGCTGGTGTGCAATGCGGGATCTCGGGAGATTCCGCTGATGTGCTAAGCAGATCTTCAGTTGAGGAAGCTTCTGAAGAAGAATCTTCTGATGAAGAAAAATCACCAACGGTAGCGCGACTGTCACTGACGACGTTGGCCCTAAAATATCTCCTGACAGATCTTACGATGTGTTGCTCCTCGTCGAGGTCATTACAAGATCATAGTTGGGATAGAACTGTCTTTCCATGGCATCGGCGAAAACCTCAACCTTTTCCTCCGTCCTGAAGACAATGCCTCCAGGACCGTGAATGGGTGGGATTTGTTCACGCTTTCCGGTTTTGAGCGACTTCGCCACCTTCCAGAGAGGAATGCTTGAGTGAGTCAAGCATCTCCGCCAGAAAGTCGTTCCATTGCTCATTGCGGAATTCATCAAGAGCATTTCGTACTTCATGAACAAGATTCGTCGCTCTGCGAATGTCATCGGGATGACAAGACCTTTTCGCTTACTTAATTGCAGCCCTTTTATCAGAAATTTTCTGACGAATGTCTGCTGGCAGAAAAGGTCTACCGTGTCGCTGCACGGGAGGTACAGCTGCGCTCTGCAAATAAGTGGACCCGAGCAGTCTAAAAGGACTTCCAGATCCGCCTCTTGCATCCTGATACCACACCTGACATCACCGATGTGATTTTTAACGGCACACCTCCCGTCATATTGACCACCCGCTTCGCTCTGCATCTCAACGTTGGTGCTTCTGTGGTAGTCAATACCGCGTTTCACTAGCACTGCCAAGCCGCCAACCCGTCCAGTCAACCAATCAGCTTGGATAACATCGTAATTCGGGAAATCTAGACGATCTGCCGGATTAAATAATGTTTCCTGCAGCAAGGCCACATATATATATTTTCGTCCACAAGAGCTTGATGAACTTCCCGTTTTTTGGGAATATCCCTTAGACCCAAACAATTCCAAAAAAGAATTTTGATAAATGCTGGCTGTCGTCTATTGTACCAAGCCATTTGCAGGAAAGATCGCTTGCAAAGCCTGTATTGCGCTAATCATAGACTTTTTTTTTTTTTTTTTTTTTTTTTTTTTTTTTTTTGCTTTAGGACTAAGCCATGCAGCCAGAAACTAGGTTGTATATAGAATATATCTAATTATGTACAAACACACGACGTCACAACATCCATGGCGAAGGCGAGATTCGAACTCGCGACCCGGCCGGCCGGCTGATCAGTAGCACGACACTCTGACCCACGCGGCCAACCGCGGTCCATCATAGGACCTATGATCTGCTGTAAGGACCTTAGCGCGGTTGCCAGGTCCACATTTTGCGTGTTCGCATAAGATCCCACAGAGGGGGCAGCCCGGGTTGCATCCCTAGCTGCATCCGCCTACTGATTGCGCCTTTGCGCTATCACTTGCATATTTTTCCTAGGGGCAATCTGCAAGTTCAGCTATTCGCTGGGTGCCCCCTCCACAGTTCGCGCACTTTCATTCCTCTTGTTCTGTTTGAGGGCATAAGTGGGTCATGTGGTCAGAAGCACATTTTCGACTCGGATAGCCGAACCTAGCAGCTCATGTTCGTTGAATAGCTGCTGAGATTTTTCTATCTTGGGCAGTATGACTACCACCAAAGGCTTGGGCACGCCGCCACCGCGTTTCAGGCGAATTATGTGCAGGGGGCATATCCCCTCTGTTACAACTCTTCCTTGATCTCCGTTTCCGAAAGTGTCGCAGGTACTTCTCTGAACACAGCATGAATGTTCCTCTCCGAGGGTAGAGGGAAAGTGTGGTGGGGCACCTCTTCCTCCCTGAAGAGACGAATAATCCTGCGGTAATCATCCTCGGACTTGGGAATTATCTTGATTCCTGCGTCGACGGCAACCGCGCGTTCAAATTTGATGCCCAACTTGTGATTTACGCCTTGCCATCTCGAAGCACGATGGGGGTATCACGTACCTTGCGTGGGGGCTGTGTGGTCGTGTCTTCTGATACCTGGGATGTCGAAGGCGAAGAAGTGACCGATAGATTAGGCACAGGCTGTTTATTCGAGTCGCTTGCAGTTGAAGGAGACGTTTCAGACTGCGATTTCAGTGGAAGGAGAGGAGGAAAGCCTGTCATGTCTTTCTTGTTTCGTCGCGTTTTACGGGGCTTAACTTTGATAAAACCGTCAGGGAGTGTATCGTCGTCAGTGGAATGATCGCTTGAATTATTTAACGGTCTCTTAAGATTGACAGCTTTGTCTTTACTGGGATTTTGTTGGAGTGTTTGGGAAGAATGTATAATATTTAGATGGGAAGGTACCTGGGTTTTCAGTAGGAGGTCTAATTTAACTGTAGGTAGATAGGATCATCATCAATCTTTCAATGGTCTTATCATCCTTTTCTGACAGCACCTGTCGAACCATCTCCGATTCGATTCTCAACTCCTCTACGGTCTGCTCCTTCGACTCCATCTCCATTGCCATGGAGGAAGCGCCATTTCCTGACCCCCCTGGGTCAGTTTCCATAGTAAATACCTCGGTTATCTCGCTTTTCGCGTCAAAAAATTTCCAGATCGAAATTACGGGACAGCTGCTATCGTGCCCTATACAGGGCGATCATATGACGAGCAGCGAACGAATGAAATCCATTCTCAAATCACCAAAAACCAACTGTAATAATAAATTGCTTCTGCTTCTTGCACTAAATTACCAAAAAAAATGCATACTTAAAGGAACAGAAGCAAACTTAAGATGGACATTTATTGAAAACGTGTGAGGCTTTTTTGATAAATTATGCTCTATTCCCGATGGCATCTAAAGCCTACGTACAGACCGAGATTCTAACGCAAGTCAAGACGCATGTGGTTACAGATTTGGAGGTGTTCGAATCGATGTGTCCGGCGCGAGCCAACATAAGCCAACGGTTATCGGTACATCAAAGGGAGGCTTGATTTAGTCGTTTGTCTCTTCATTCGATGAGAGGAGACTCGTCGCTCAACATTGGCACCGAACTTAACCCGACGCGGTCCAACTCGAAACTAAATTTAGGTCTGACGAGCGCTTTCCAATACCTTCCAACAAAAAACGCCAACGTCACATGCGCTTGCATTCGCTTGCAAACAAAGCATCGAGCATTGAGGCATTTTTGAATAGCCTGTTGTCATCGTTACCATTTTTTCAGTCGATGTAACAAGAAGAGTAAAAATAAGATTGTCGGCGAACATAAATATGACGAATAGCTAACGAGTGAATCCCATTCTCAAATCACCAATCTCGCTAAATTGCTTCTGCTACTTGCAACGTTGCACTAAATTACCCAGAAACACATGTTTATAGAAACAGAAGCAAATTTATTGAAAACGAGCGAGAATTGTTTTAATAAATTATGGTCGGTTCTATTCCCGATGATATCTAAAACATTCTATCGAGCATTGTGTGCATCGGTGTTGTCGACAAGGCAACCTCGCCCTACAACTTGCAACATCGCCCTACAACTTGCAATATCGCGGCTGGTGGTGTCGCTTTTGTTCCGTTGTATCAATAGGAATCGGTATTGTGAAAGAATGGAAAGAATCGATTTCGAGGCCGGACTCGGAATCGTGAAGGAATCGATTCCGAGGCTAGAATCGGAATAGTGATCGAATCGAAGGACTCGATTTCCAGGCCGTAATCGAAACCATGGAATCGAATTACAAAAAGGGGATTGGCCCATTTCTACCTAGGTGACGCCATCTTATGTAGTTTATTGCTTTTACAACGCTTAGTGCAGAACGTAGCGTCTACTTGCAAGGATCATTCGTGTTATCAATGATTTAATGCACAGTCATTGTACGCTTGTCTGCAATTCCTTTTTTTGTGTTTCAGGAGAATGAGAATGGTCCAACAAATGCAGTGTCGCAAGGTGTTCCTTCAGAAGGAACGACGGACGTTTCCAGTTTAGCCGCGGCTGCCCAGGCGGCTGCAGAACTAGCCAAAAACCAGCCGAAGAGGTTACACGTCTCAAACATTCCATTTCGGTTTAGGGACCCAGATCTTAGAGCCATGTTTGGGGTAAGTACTCTGATCCTTTGACGTTAAAGTATTCTGTATCTACATAAAATTGCATTTTAAATAATTGAAATAGATTTTCTATGTCGATTTTTCAAAATGATACAGCCGAGGCTTACAATTAGTTCAGATGACGTGCGTCGACGTGGCACGGGTTTGTTGGGTCAGTTTATTGTATTTAGTCAACGAGAAGGGATGTGGGAGCAGATATTTGTGCTTGGTTTGTATACAGAAGAATGAAACGACGTAAAACAGAAAGGGCAATAGACTTTGCAAGTTTGTTCCTTACTTTATCCCAGCCGTCGACTATTCCGACATTTTTAACTACTTTAGAATATTGAATTGGAGAATAGAAAGATTTGAATCATTATCTTTGTCACTAATTGTAAGTATTTAGAACAATTATACCTAATATTATTAATATCAGATATGGCGCTATTTTGTTGTCTTATAAAAAAAATGTTCAATGTCTATTTCAATACCATGTGGTAGATAGCAAGAGTGTCAACTAACCGCACTGACAGGCAATGGGAACATCCAGTACGCGTGGCGTCGCAGACCGATGCGCGTATTGAAATATTTTGCGTGTAGTGGCGTCGCTTCTGACGCGCGCTTCTATGCGAACAGTTATGATTATTTATGTATATTTTCAAAGCTAGCGTCAGGCGAACGCACGTCTAACGCGTGTCATCTGAGCTTAGCCTTATCCTACTTCCGCTCGCCTGTTGGAAGAAAATGTGTTTGAAAGTCGTACGTATAGTTCAGGAAATCTCTTCATATGCGCTCGGAAAAATATTCGGATTCTGTTTTTTTCGTCAAAACTTGCACAATTTTTCAAGCAAATTCCCAGAAATCGTTTTTTTATATGGAATACTCTAGGTTTTTATTTTTTATTTTCGAGATATTGGCGATTTAACATTTGAAGTACTATGCAAAATATGCCATATTCAACCCCAAAACAATAATCTGAAAAAACGAAATTTTAATGTTGCCAAATATTCTACAAACATTCATTAACAAATCTTGAAGCATTTTAGCGGGTATTTATATTTTAAACCTGTTTTTTACAAAAAAAAAAAAATCTGGAGCGAAAGGAAAACCTTTTTCGGATTTTTTATACCGAAGCGGCCGGGTAGGTAGAAGGCTAAATTCTAGGGCGCAGCGGCTGCTATGAGGAGCTTTAAAAAGTATCATGGAGGAGAGCTCATAGCAAAGCCTGTTTATATGGCGATAGAACAGAGCTAGATTGTCCTCCTCTGAACAGCATCGAGCGCACAACACCCCAAACATTTGAGCAGAATTTGAGTCTAGGGCTTGTACAGATTGAGGAGGTTATGTGGAGAAACGTACTTCTTAGCCCTAAACAAATACCCTAGCTTTTCGGACCATGTGATCTGGTCTCCAATCAGTCGAAATGAACGGATCTTTGGTAAAACCCGTCCATCTATCAAAACCGGATGAGTGCTAGGGCGCTTCTTGTCAGTCAAGGTATAGTACTGTGTTTTAGAAGCATTAAACTGTACCAGATTGTTGCTTCCCCAACAAGTGATTACCTCTCGTCATAGAAGATGCTGCTGCTAGTCTTCTTGTCTCGAGTTAACCGGCAGGGATTGGCTTGTCACTATGAATTTTTGCATGTAGCAAAGCTGTGGATCGGATTGATCGTACAGGAAAGATCATTGTAAGAAGAACAATGTAGGAGCCAAGACCCATCCCTGGGAAATGCTCGCGTTGACATTGTGGGATGAAAAGGAGAACCCGCCAATTACGACGGATATCTTGCGGCCAGAGAGAAAATCAGCCACCCATCTGCAAAGCTTCTCTGGGAGGCCATATGCTGGAAGTTTGCATAAGAGGGTACCATACCACAGCTGATCGGATGTTTTCGTGATATCAAGAGCAACGACATGAGCATCACCATAAGACTTTTACTTCACGTTGCGTGACGTAACCATTCTGCCTGACGCTAATCAAGTTGTGACGTACAAGGTATTTCAGAAGCTCCCGATTTATGCACCTCTCCATCACCTTACTTAAAACAGTAAGCAAAGTAACAGTCCTGTAGTTGTAAGTTCCAGTCTCAGATGCTTATTGTGGGATAGGCTGGACATAGCAAATTTGCAGTTTTCAGGGAAAGTGCCAGAGTCTTAAGATATCTGGAAGAGCCACGAAATAACTGGAGCAAGTTCCACTGCAGATATGTCAAGTATAACGGCAAAAATCGGCTTTAGACCAGAAGCTGTGCTGATACCGATTGACAAGAACACCCGTCTTACTGTCTTATGCATGAATGTTACTTCCCGTATAGTGTGGACGGCACTGGGGCTTTTAGGAGACGTCCATGGTGGAATTAACATCAAAGATTTTTTCCTTAGTCTTTGAATCGGTTACAATCGTTCCATCCGTTTACGTTAAGCGGTGGAAAGATTCTGTTTCCTTGAATCTGCTTGGCCAGAATCCAGAATGGCCGACTTTCATTGCGCTGCGATATTTCCCTGTGCCTAATTCTTTCATCATGCTGGTTTTTGGTATTGCGAACAGCTTCGTTATATTTGTTTCAGGACTCGATATCGGCTTGTCTGTTATCCACAGTGGGGTTTTGTTAGAAAGTAAGAAGCAATTTGTTTAAAAAAATTGTTTAAACGATTTTGGTGCACTTTTAGGCCTGACAATATGTGAATTCGTTGAATTTGAATGAAATTATGCAAAAAAATGAATCGAAATATTTTTCGAGCGTTGGGGTATTCAAGATATAACCTTTTGGTTACAAAACAATTATATTTCGTCAGAATAAAATTCTGGACAACCCTATTGCTCAAAGATTAAGAAAATTGGCATTTTATCAGTTGAATACTAAAATGTGATTTTCTTTTCAGCAATTCGGCCCGATCTTAGACGTAGAAATTATATTTAACGAACGAGGATCGAAGGTTTGTGCCAAACAACAATTATTTATTAGTTCTAGTTTTTAATCAGCTATGTTGCTATTAAAGTTTACAATCATCAAACCATAGGAAAATATTTTTAGAGTTCCTAAACTGTCTTTCACTCTCATTTGTATCCCTTTAACAAACTTTTTTTTGATACTATTAAAGGAATTATAAAAGATAATAGATATGATTTCATGTTTTGGAATTCATTTACAGGTACAATTTTACATATAAAATAAATACTTAGAAATGTGTATTTAATTGCTTTTGCATGAGTCAGGATTTAACATTGTCTGAGGTTACTTAAACCACACATAATTAATATGCCAGATTCTACTTCAAATTTTAAATTCAAATTAATAAGCTACTGCAAAAAGTTTAACATTGATATAAATTCAAATAGTTTAGCCAATTCTAATCAGCATTTTGCTTTATTATTACTCAATATTCATTTGTATATTGTGCAGTGAAATTAGCTTAAATCTTATAGGAAAAAGCTCAAGGATCGCCTAAACTAGTTTCGGTTAAAACGTGTTTGAGAGCCATTGCAGAAATCGTCAAAAATGACTTAAATTGGGAAATTAGGTTTTACTCATAAGTATCTAAAATTGACAAAACTGCATCTTAGGTACCTGATACGTTTTGAAAAACACCTGTTTCTGATCCAGTCTAAATAATTTTTGATCTACCGTCGTCCAGAGTTATTTCGACAAAATTGTATCATATACAAAAAAGTGGAAGGAGGTGAGATTGACACGATTAATGAGAATTGTTGTCTCAAGAGTCATGGATCAACTGAAAGAGGGTAACAGGGGGGAGGGGGCATTTCCAATCAGAAAAACCATGAATGTCCTTATCGCCATTTTTAAGAATTTTAACAAAATCGCCACTTTTGGGATTATACTATTTTTTTCTGAAGTTCTCTTTTGCTATTTCTCAATCAGCTTAACAGGATATGTTACCAAATGATGTGCCGGTAAACAAAGCTGTCAGTGAATAACTTGTCCAGGTAATGTAGATTCAGCAATCGGCTAAACCACAATTTTGTTATTGTCAAAAATATTACATCATATTCAACAAGGCCAGTTCAAAAAATTAGTGGGTCGATGAAGTGTCTATAGTTATAAAAACCTTTTATATAATAAAATTCAATAATTTCAATCCTTATTAACTTTCTGCTTTGTATCGGTTGGTTTATGTCGACATATGGGCAGTCATATCAGTCATTTGGTATATGACCAGATTACACTTCTGAGGAGGATGTACAAGGGGGGCAATAGAAAATCAGTTTTTTAGGGATTTTAAAATCATGTTGCACTTCAAGATGCCTTAAACCGATTTTTGACATAAACTAGCTGAGGCGATTCTTTAGAAGACAGCGTTTCAAAATACAATTTTCGTAATGTTCTTAGTTAATTTTACTGCACTAATAGCCTTTTGCTCAAATTGTCTGTTCTAGAAAATGACGTTGAGATCACAATTTTTTAAAATCTCTCAACTTTTTATCGATACTTCATTTTGTCAATTTCCTTAAATGTACTATAGTTTCAACCTTTCTTCTATCTGTAGCTTTTTCTTGTGATAAGCTTGGGGTTGTGGAACACTGAAGTCTGTAGAATGTGCATTTTTATATTTATTTAGAAAACCAGTGTTGTTGGTTCTGTATGTATGTTGCATTTTACGCTTTTTATTGTTGGAAAATACATATTGTATGTTACACATTGTGTTCTTGGTAAATGATGCTTTCTGAATGATTCTAGTAATGCTGTTTCATTTATTTGCCTTTGTGATTTCACCTACCCATCTCAAAATATTTATTAATTTACTTTCTAATAGTTCTTTCGCAATTACAAAACAAAATCAAAAATAATAGTTATCTAGAAATTCTTTGATCTTTCTTTTGCATGTTATTTTTAGCAGTTGATTAATGAACTTTTGATATGACGATTATGCTGCACCCTATTACGTAAAAAATAGAACTCAGATGACATCAGCTAATGCTGTCAAACGCAAAGATCATGCTACAACGTGATCCAAAAGTACGAATGGAAATATACGGGATAAGGTAAAATTAAATTAGTATGATTTGGATTTTTCTCTGGCTATTGAATGGTGCCTTTGATTGAATTTGACCTTGAGCATTACCTTGAAGGTCAAATCAAAGTCAAGGTGATTTTTTGACAGGAACTATATGCTTTTAACACAGGAAACAGATACTACGATCTTAATGTTTAAATATGACTTTGTGTGAAAACTATTTTGACTTTTAAAGTCACCGGACTAGGCCATGTCTAAAAGTAACATTTCCGTTCTGTCCATTTGCGGTCTAAACCTTGATTTGACCGTCAAACTCACCAGTAAAAAAAACGGAAGAAATATGTTTCGATTGCCTTAGGGTTCTTTTATTTCTAACATTTTATGAAGTATTTCTGAATTCTGTTCAAACAACGGTTTTGCGGTGATCTTGACGAAGATTGTTTTGTTCTTGATTTGACCTTGGTCAGGGTCAGTTTCAAGGTCATCATGAAATAGACAGAGGAAAATTCAAATGTGTGCTGTATTTGTGTTTATTTATACTTTATCGTGAGAAACATTTCAAACGAGGATTTCTTACGATGACCTTTACCATAATTAATTATTTCTCAAGTAAATGTTTTTATTGAATATTTGTTTATCTCTCCATTTTAAGGGTTAGAGTAGCATGCAAAAGTTGCTATACCTTGATTTGATCGTAAAGGTCATGGTCAATTTCACGACAACCAGACAAAAATCGGAAACTATGCCTTTGGGGGTCCATATTCAGAAAGATCTTTGAAATGTTTTAAAAGAGGTTTTTCGCGATGACCTTGACCAGCACTTCCGCTGTGTCTAAAATAGCATATCCCTCATATCTAAACCGTTGCAGACATCTTTAATTCAAATACGGCTGAGGTGCTATACGCAAAGCGCCTCCATCATGCTAAAATAACGGTTGTTATAGTCGATAAATGGACAATTATTTAAATATCCTTTAAACACTCCTCTCAGAAATTGAAGCATTGGAGATTTAGTCGGATAAACATGTGATAAACTGTCAGTTTCAAAGTCCATTATTCTGAGTTTGACAAAACTGGTTGCTGTTATCAGTTGAAATTCTTGCGCAATAAGGGTGCCGTGTATATCTAGATAATAAATACAAGAGATTAATTCCTTTTTTGCCCTATAATAAAAATAGTAAGTTTTTTGTTAAAAGCAACTCATTTTTGAGAATCTTTGTGTAGCTTAGCATTCCTGCAGCACAATTTTAAAATACGTAATTGTGGAATCAATATAAGATTTGAGAATGACTTGGCAATAGGTGTTGCACATCTAGGGGCTTTTGTAGTGAATTTTAACACCCCATTTGTTATCATGATCACTCTTAGATTTGATAGCAGCAAAGCTGAGTAGACTAATGTATCTTCCTTTTACACTGGGTGGACGAATATTTCTAATTTATATTTTTCATTTATAGCTCTCGTTTGTGGTTATGTTCACCCAGTATATTTATAATAAACGACATATTTTACATAAGGTTTGCATGATAAACCTTATGTAAATTATTCGTAATATTGATATATATCTTTCTGAACTTTGTGCAATTGATGACTATGAAAAAAAAATGACTATGACATATGATGGCGTATTGAAAATTTTTTGGTTTTATTTTTTACGTTTCATTTTTTCTCCATTTATTGAATGTGCCGTTGAAGCTATTACTCAGGTTGTCTGTTTTGATACAGGGTGGTCAAAAAAGTTATTCGTCGATTCAGTTCGTTCTGAATCGTTTTATAAAGGTAAAATATCGATTCTGTTTTTAAGACCACCCTATATATTGATATGTACCGTCCAGAATTCATATCCATCATGTGCTATATTTATCTGTGTTTATTTTATCGAATACAAACATTAAGATTTCTAACATTCTTCTGGATAGCATGTTGATGATATATGTTACCAAATGATTGATGTATATGCCCTTGAATTGAAATACTTGATATATATGTTTTTTCTGAATAAATGGACAAGCATGATTGAAAAATAAATCAAAATTTCTGTAAGAGTGTATGAGGTATCTATAAAAAATCTAAAAATACTAAAGAATGAAGGTATCCAGCACTTATGTTCTCAATGTAAACTTTACTATGATGTCTGGTTATATTGCATGTATGTTTTTAGTAAAGTGCCTATTTCACTTGGCATGAGCAGCCTAAAATGTTGCTTCTTCTACTTAACATGAATAAACATGCGGCCATTTTGACGTTTTTCAAAAGTGTTAGAAATATATCTGAATACGATGAACTCACGGTAGATTTCATGCTACGCACTATATGTGTACCTCAAACTTGCTCCCATGACAATACAATTTTTTAATGGTCATACTAGTATTGGGCTTTCCATGCTCTCCAAGCCATTGGTCCGCAATTGACCTTGTGGATGAGAAGCGGGCCCGTAGAGTCAAAAACCGACCTAGACCTTCCTGATTCTATGCCCGACACCAAACTACCGTTATACTTCTGTGCACCGTGATGGCTATTTCTCAGCCTCACACACGCCTACTATTCGCCCCTATCAAACTCTCTTAGTTGTTGAAATTATGTTCTCTCTCTTCTCACTCTAGGCATAATAAACAGATTAAAACAGCTCTTCACAAAGGATTGTACGATGATCAACTGACAATTGTAGCTACAAAACACTATCCCTTAAGCCGGTCCCAGACACTATGAGCTTCGCCTAACTTCGTGGAGCGTGTGGGAAAGTGGCTGATTGTCGGTAAATTAGTCCGAAGCAAAGGACGCGAAGTTCGGCGAATGGCGTTCGGTGGCAGCTCACACACGCTTCGCTTTAACGTCGCTGCTCCTTCGTTATATTTTGTCTGATCAATGCAATGCCAATTTGTGCTTGAGTGAGTAGTAAAGGAGTGGAACAACGATCTAGTGAATGAATTTTTGGAAAAAATTTTAATACACTAGTTATCCTCG